AGGAAAAAGCGGACTAAAGTTGATCAAAGTCCGCTTTTTGTACTTGCATCAGTCTCTTTTGATCAGATTGTGACAAGAAGAGGAGAAAAACAAACTTTTTGGCCATTAAGTTATTTATAATAGATTTCAGTTTTGTCATCAGCGATCTCTAATATAGCTTAAAATGGTTATTGAAAAGTTAGATTATCTATTATTTATGATGCATAAGACGTAGGCAAAAGACTCTTCCCACTACCACAGTCACCTCCAAAAATGATGAGAAACCAAAACTTTTCAGAATTAATTTTTCTAGACTTTCGAACAGATGTGACCTCTGATCCTTTTTACTGAGGGATCCTTAATGAATAACTTCTTGAAATATTTGGGTTGAATTATAAATTAATCGAAACCGACTTAAACCTAGAGCCGGTTCCCATGGTCGAAATTTTTGTATAGAAAACGCATTTAACTCTATTAGATCAGCTGTTGTTGTTTGTGCCTGACATATTTCTTGCCAAGTCTTCGCTTGTAAACATTGTAATTCATCCGAAGATGAACGACAATTTAATAATTCTGAGAAGCGGTTGTTAAATTGTTGTGCATTATCTTTAGTTCTAAATCGTACACCAATTGTTGGTGATTGTATTAAAACTTTATGGAATAATCCCCAATCCCCCAATTGAAATCTTAATTTGTTTAATGGAGGTTGAGCGTACGGTATACCCAAAAATAGCTGAGCATATCGATTATAAATACCATCAATTCTTCCGGATGGGGTAGAAATAATTTCAGTTTTTCTTTGAGAAATACCATTACATAACATAAATAATAAGTAAAAAGCTATTAATTGCTTCATTTTATTTGCAAATTTTCTTCGGAGTGTGTGTGCGTGTATGGTTAACACAGATAATGAAACATGCTTTTATAATAGAATTCTTTTACTTCTTCTATCACGAACAATTAGTGTATATGTGCATATCTGGTATAATAATAAAAAACAGATCATTTATCCATTTTTAACTCGATTATCTCTATCTGTTCACCTTTATTATACAATCATTTACTACTATTATTATTTTGACCAATAACAAAAAAGTCACGTGTAAGTGATGTGCTGATCATAGTAAATTTACTTTCAGGGAGTAAAAATAATTCATGCAATGAACATCTTTCATGCTGAGAACCGAACAGATGACTTTTATAATAGAAAAGGATTTGTCGCAGTTCGCCAATTCAACTTTCGCCAACAGACATTCGCAGACGGTGGATGTCAGTGGTGACTATTTTTACTGACCGACTGACTTTACTGACCAAATTTGATTGATCTATGCCATGGTTACACCAATCAATTTTGGTCAGTAAAAATAGTCACCACCCGGATGTCCTCAAAAATTGGCGAATGTCGTGGGAACATTCGCCAATCGCCGATATGGCGAATGTCTATGTTGTACTTTTATTGTATTTTTTGCAGTTACAGGATGAGTACTCCAATGAATAATGAGGACAGGCACTGGCGAATGACGCGTGAACAATGGCGAATGTCGTAGGGGTACACTGTACAAAAGAAGACGGATAAAATGTCTAAAAAAGACGGTCACGCATCTAATCTAGACACTTCGACCATTCTTCTACTCGCAATCGCCCAATCAACATCAAGGCAGACAGTGACACCACGTACGTCAACACCTATATCGGTATCCTTGCCACAAGTACAGGTGCGAGTGTGTCACAAATGCCAGCAACCAGGACACTTGCGAAAAGATTGTCCAACTCGAAACGGCCACGTGGATCATCAAGCTTTCCAAAACAAGCACCCTTGTGTTGAAGTTGAGACGATCGGGAATAAAGAAATAATACGGCAAGATACACCGGCACCAGTTACGCTTAATTCAGAGAAGACGATAGTGGAGTCCGGCGATGATAATCATTTGGGCAGTCCTCGATTAAATGCTGACCATGGTGGCGGAATACGTAACCATGACGACGTGATGCAACAAACTACGGCGTTGCCGGTCGGTTTAGATTTGAATGGGAATGAAAACGACGTGCAACTGGGCGGA